GTCTCCGGCCAGTGATCACCCTGCTCGTTGGGCTGTCCCTTTGGATCCGCTCTCTCGCTCAGAAGTCAAACGTGAGATCGGACTGTTGCAGTTGAATAAATCCGTGGAGCCAGACGATCTTCCTCTAGCCCTCTTCAACTTAGGGGGGCCCTGCTCTTTTTTGCTGATTTACACGAATTACTAGTGAAACTGGGAAAAGGCAACTGTCCAAAGCGACTGGAGCCGCTACGCATTAGTCCCAATTTTAAAGGGAGGCTCGCGTTCGGAATGCGGCAACCACAGAGGAATCAGTCTGATCGCCATCGCCTCCTAATTACTTGCCTCTGTAATCCTTCACAGGCCTACTGGCGATCATGAAAGCCAGATACGAGAGAAGCAAGCTGGGTTTCGTCGTGGTCGGGGATGCATCGACCACATACTCACATTACGTCAGCTGTTGGGGCAACGTCACATATATTGGCGGCCCACGGTTGTCATGTTCATCGGCATCAAAGGCGTTTTCGATTCGGTTGATTGGTGTGCCCTTTGGGACTGTTTATTCGGGAAAGGTGTGCCCGAGAAATATATAAATATCATCCAAGCATTATACGCGCCTAACTCGGGCAGAGTGATGGCTTACGGCAAGCTGTTGCCACCCTTCACTATCTCCAGCGGTGTAAAAAAGGATACCCGCTATCACCTTTCCACTTCAATTTCGCTATTGACGAAGTCATGGAGATCTTGTCCACAGGACACGACTTAGAAGGCGTCATTGCTCCCAACTGAACGACTTCTTGACTTGGATTATGCTAACGATATTGCTCTCATATGCGACCGCTCCCAAACGTTCGAAACGGCACTTGACAGATTAGCACTGACTGTCAGCATTTTCGGGCTATGCTTTGCACTCTCGAAGTGCAAAGTTTTCCTCCAAGATTGACTGGGATCGCCTCCTGCGCTGACACTTGTTGGGGATTAACTAGAAGTTATTCAAAAGTTCAACTATCTAGATCGTTACATCAGCGCGGTTGGAATTGAAGACAACGTCACAAATTGTATAGCCAAAGCCTGAAGCGCCTTTGCTAACCTTCGCCACCTAGGGCACCGGCGCGACATCACTCTCCCTGAAGGGTAGGGTGTTCAATGCAGCCGTACGTTCGACCCTACTGTGCGGTTGTGAAACCTGGCCCATCACGTCAGCCGTCTTATAGTGGCTAGTTACGTTCGATCACAGGTGCCTTCGCAGTTCGGCTCATATTTGGTGGGAACACCGTGCGAGCAATCAGCATATTCGACACCTTGTTTAATGGTGCAGTAAGAGGGAGCGAACCGCTCAGCACCATTATGTCACACGTCAGACTCAGCTGGCTAAGCCACGTGTTGCGCATGCCAACCCACCGACTCCCTCGACGTACGTTGTTTGCACGACTGGGGTGTGGTTGGCAGAAGAGAGGTGGCCAGACGATGACTTGGTCGAGAGGAATGAAGACCCTCACTTCGAAGCTGGCCTCAGTTGGAGCGTCACGGTTCCCTGGTTGGGGTCCCAAAGACGATGAACACGTTTGGCTGGATACACTTGTTGAGGTGGCTTGAACCCGACTTCGATGGCGTTTGTATTGAATTTCTTTGTCCTTCCCCCCCCCCCGCTTAGCCTCTCTCTCCAACCACAATCTCATTTATTAAGCTTAATATAATATTTTGCAGCACAACCTCATTGTTAGCTCTCCGGAACGATGTCCATCCGTTACTGGTGACCCAACCGGCGTGCTTGTTTCCTTTTTTTATATTGCGGCACAATAGCTGAGGTGTCTTCCACCTGCAGCTAATGTGTATAATGGTGATGATCACTCAAACCAATCTCTCTTTATCTGCTTCCTGTCGAAAAGCAGCCTCTACTGCTAACCGCATGCTGGGACTGTTAAAACGTGCCCTCGGCCAAAGTGATCCATCAAATTTCCGCCTCCTAAACTTTTCCTTTTCCCTCATTTGGAGCTTGCTATCCAAGCTTGGAACTCCTGATTGCTCAGAGACCAGTGTATGCTTGCAGCCCCACAAGGTCGGGTGACGAAACTAGAACGAGTTCTCAGACAGTTTGATTGCCCACAACGGCTTCCTCGCCTTGGTCTCTTATCGCTGAAATACCGTCGTCTTCGTTGCGACTTTGTCCTTGTGTTTATAATGCGGTCTAACTCTGCCGCGATTTACTATAACTGCACCACTCACGCTGACATCGTGGTCACCCACTCCGGCCCGCGCGTCAGCACAGCTGGCTGAATTACATGCAACACTTCTTTGATCTGCGAGTCTGCGAACTGTGGAACGCCATGCCTGCTGACGTAGTCTCGGCATCTACTGTAGCCGATTTCAAGACTCACCTGGACCGCAATCTTACCCAACTGCATCGCGATCTCCCTTGTGACAAATACCCGCTATCCTGTATCTTTTATCCCAGACTAACGCCAGTCAACTTCCGGTCGCGTCTCACCTGACGCACCAAACTATTTTTCTTCCGTATCTGGCATTTCCGGTTTACATGTTATTGGAGTTTCCTTTTTTTGCTCTATATTATTCTTTCCTTAGCTCTATCAGAAGGTGTGGTGGGGTATCACGCTTTGAGCCAGCGTGCATTCCGTCTAACTGCTACATAGGCTCGATTAAGATACGGCTAACGTTTGAGTCCAATCCGCTGTAAGGTTGCTTGGTCTTTTCATAAGACCTGTATCGATTTTACGTATCTCTTCCCAATTGTACCTTCTATTCTCATTTCCATTATTATTGTACAGTTTTAACTGACTAACTTAACTTGTGCGGAGTGGGCCAGCTCCACTTACTAGCTCAGACGTGCGGTCCGCAGATGCTGTTTACAAGCATTGCGTACCTTTCGGTAACGACGATACTTACTTTCCGTGGGAGCGGATACATAAGTCTTCCAACATCTGGATTGCCTACTAGGCACCCTGTGCTACTCAGAGTCAAACCATGGCGGTTTTACCTCCACTTTATTGCGCACTGAGATTGGGATATGGGGGAAATATCTCACAGAGAAAGGACTTAAATTTGTCCCACGCGATCTGAACAGTATCAAGCTCCGACATGATGCAAGGGAAATTTGCAGCCATGTCTTTCATGACTTAAAAATCTGCGCGCCAGATATTTTGGCTTCAGGTGATAGATCATTCACGACTCCGAATTAGGGAACAATCGTATACTTAGCACTCGTGATCACTAGCGCCTAAGGGGGAATCGTAAGCCAAATCTCTCGAAGTCCTGATGAACCTAGTGGGTCTTTGTACAAATTGGTAAAGGGATACTTTCAAGTCAATGGAAAAAGACTGCCGCTGCTTCACATTTGCAATTCTACCATTTGACCTCAGGAGCATCAAAATCACCCATAACGAGGCATCTATTCGCCCTATGAATGCGAATAAAAGCAATACGCTCGATTGACATACTTCCTGGGCTTCTACATACCAACAACATTTTGAATTGCGTGAGAAAAGTACACACATCCATCAAATGAGCCTCAGTAGTCCTATCTTGTGAGTTGCACAAATATGTTCACAGAATGATTGAGGTGAATCTGACGTACAGAGCAACTCCATCTGCGCTACAGCTTGAAGTGCGATTAGATCGTAGTATGGTATAGCCCGGTAGATATACTTTACTGTCCAAGATGTCCGAAAACAACTACGTCTCACTGAAAACAAGTATGTCTGGCCGGGATCCTTTTACCAGAGTATCGATCTCACACATCTTGTTTCTCAGACTACGCACGTTGCTGAGAAATACTTTAAGGAAATAGCGATCGGGAGTCGTGGATCGTGAACCGCCAGAATGGGCCATAGAAGGGCAGAAATCGACCGCCTCCCGAAAAACCACCAACTGGTGACCCTTTTTACCCGCTTTATGACGCGCCTTTAGGTTTTTGATGGCGTCTTTTAATTTCAATCTATCAGTTAAAGGGAGGTCAGGTTGAATACTACCCTCAGAACCTTTGAGTTGGGAGTCGTAACGCAGGAGCGTCTTACGCTCATATGGTTCTGGAAGGACAACTCAGTAAATGGAGCCAATAGATGATTTGGTCCAGATAAATGGAGGCCCTTACTTTGAAGTTGGCCTCTGTTGGAGCCTCTCGACTCCCTGGTTGGGGACCGAAAGACGATAAACACGTTTGGTTGGATACACTTGTTGACGTGGTTGGACCCATCCTCAATGGCGTTTGTGTCGTTTCTTTGGCCTTCCCCCTCCCGCTTAGCCTCCCACTCCAACCACAATCTCATTAATTAAACATAATATAAATTCTTTTTTGCGGCACGATATCCGGCTGTTAGCTCTCCGTGACAACGTCCATCCGTTACTGGGGACAGTCGGCGTGTCTGTTTCATTTTTTTCTTTTTTGTTTTGAGGCACAATAGTTGAGGTGTCTTCCACCTACAGCTAACGTGTATAATGATGGTGATGAAACGGAGTCTAATGTACGGCTGGTTATTCCTGTTGTGAAACCTATCGTGGGCTCCTTTCTCGATAACAGGGCTGCCGGGGTTCCTCCAGATACAAATACTGACGGAACTTGTCGCCGAACTGCTGAAGTTGTAACATCTGTTGCTTCCTTACCAAACCCGCCCACCCCCAACCTCGTTTACAAACTATTGCCTTTTGCTGCACTGAGTCCGTGTCACCCCATGCAGCACTACTGACAAGCTAATAACACCGTTTTTCATTGGTTCTGCGACGGTACATTCACAGAACCAGTCAACTTTGTTTTTCATGGTGCTGAAAATTCACAATCAATTTTATAGTATGGCGAACTCCATCCAGGCCTTGCCGAAACAACAGCTGAGAATCCAGGCTCATTTATCCACTTGTCACAATTCTGGGTCGCCTGCTGCATTGTAGACGACGCCCACTCTCTAGGAGGGGGAGAAAATGTAATGAAGTTCCCCGGTCTCATACTAGATTTCATCGATTACTTAGCTGTGCTGCATTCCCATTTGATAGCACATTGCCTATCTTATATTTTAGCCTGTTGAAACTATTTTAACTTCCACCTAAATCAGTGCAAGCTACAGAAATGTCTCAGCAGGGCGCCGCACTTCAAAATTATAATAATGAGCTCGTTAAGTGTGGGTTACTGAACTACCTACATCCTAATTTGGTAAGGTTTCGAAGAACTTTGCGAAAGGAGAGAGGACCTTCAGCGCCAGATACAACAAGACGAAATGGAGCGCTCAAAGCTTCAGCGAGAAATCAACATATTAACTGAAAAGTTAGCAGTAGTAAATGATGGCTTGCAGAAGAAACTGGCCACTAGGAGCGAATACGACCGAACGATTGCTGAGTCAGAGGCTGCTTATATGAAGGTATGATGCGCGTCCGTACATCACCGATGAATCTATTCTCTTTTTATAGATTTTGGAAAGTTCACAGACCCTTCTGACAGTTCTGAAACGAGAAGGTCAGAACATTGTTCAACGAGCGACTACTAAGAATGTTTCATTTTGAGTGTAATCTCTTTCACTTCCACTTAAACGATCATCATTTCTGACAAGCATGTTCAGCTCTGCCTGGTTTCCTTTTTTATGCCGTCATGCTGCTCGCATACATTGAGGAGGCCAATTTTCCCTCCTTACCTTATATGCGCAAGCAAAACGTGCTGTCAGCGTTTTCGAATCACTGCGATGGAACTGATGCACGCCGCTCCTCCATATTTTTTGTTTACTTCTCGTGGGGTAAAACTCCTTGCTCGCTTCGGTAACCCTATCTGCCCATCTGTCCATGATTTGTGCGTTTCGCGCCGTCTTCTTACGCCTGTGGCCCGGATCAGGCCACATGGATCCTTTACTTTCCATTTTTTCCACCACGTTTGTTTCTATGTACTACAACGGGTGACGTTGTGCATTTACCATAGTATGACATAAATAGGATGTTCTCTTGGCCATACAATCTTTTTATGTAAATTACTACAGTGTGGTTTGCCATTTACTTGCTTGAGACATGGGAACTGAACAAACTGCATTTTATGGGGCGCCTTGAAACCCTGTTGCTCGTAGTGCGTTTTAGGGTTTTTTTGTACTTCTGTGTAAATGGTAACTTGTGCGTGTTCGGTTAACAGAATAGGCGGGACTCCATACAAATTGTTTACTTGGTATCATCATCATCTCTGGACTAAGCGTTAGCCACTCTCAAGTATGGATAACTGGGTACTTGTATGCACACGCATACAGTAAACTATTCAGGATTTCAGGAGCGTTTGAAACCAATCTGTTGGGATAATTTGTGGGCAACGTTTCGCTTTTGGCCCAGAAGCTTCGTCAGGCTAAGTGAAGCAGTGGATTGTTGGGACCGTTCCATGCACCACTTGAAGTGACACTGATCGGTAACGCGATTAACTTTTTGCCTATATCGCAGTTGCCGCTATTATCTTCCCAATTTTCTGTAAGTGCCACACCGGTCATCCACTAGTTCACTGGGCTTGACGAAGGTGTTGTGTCAAGCGAAACGTCGCCCACAAAATATACTAACTGGTGGTTTAAAACCCTTTTGTGATCATGGGTTCTCGATCGGTTGCAAACTTTCTTCAAGATTACTTTTCGGGTGGGCAACTCCCAATTTCCATCTGTTTTGAGTACGGTCCCAGTGATCGCAGTGATTAAGATTCACTTCTTTGTGAACCACAGTCCATTACATTGAGGTTGTGCGTCGCAATCCAATCACACAACGTGTAGTCCAAACTTGACCCTCCAATTAGTCATCTACCGTTGTGCCAAGCGTTGCCCACCGTGACTCGGTAGCCAAAGGGGTAGAGGTTTCGGCTACTATTCCAATGATCGCGGGATCGAGGCCTGCTGTCTCTACCTGATGAGATGAAATTACATCGAAACGCGTCGTGTTTGTGCAGTGTTTTTGCGTGGGCAGTACCCAATTTCCATCTGCTTTTTTCACGATGTTGAGTGAGCAGTTCCATTCATCACATGTTACTGAGGCATAATAAATACGATTCATATAGTAAAGTTTGTCGAAACTGCAACATACCCAGAAAAGTAACACGTTTAACTAACATTAAAGATCTGCTTTATGTGTCTGGACTATTTTCGGACTCACCGTGCGGATAGAGGCCAAATACATGGGCAATTTTCGGGGCTGCCTGTAATAGGTTCATTCAGGCATTCCCCTACAACCCACTGCTCATCAGTTTTAACATGACTAGTCACGCGTGACTTCGCAATTTTTAAGTTCAGTAGACGTCACTGATGAATAAAGGTACCAGAGAGCAAAAGGAAACTGTATTTTATCCTTCGCAAACAATATAGTTCCTGTCGAATCACGTCAACAAACGCAGCAGATGTTTGGTGAATGGTATATTCTTTTCACTGTGATACCTTTCCATTTCCCGGGTTGAAATTTATCCGCCAGGAGTGTCCATCCTGTATTGAGTCTAACTTTTTAAGACCAGAATTACGCATTTTTCCTTATTGGTGCGCAGGACATCCTGGCCTTGTCGATTTTATGTTGTGCTTACCAAACTTGTGGGGTAATGGCAGGTTCCAAGCCACTACACATGTACGCAGGCACAATGGATGATTAGCGCAGACAATTCGACTTTGCTGCTGGTGAAGACTGGGGATGTCATCCACATACCGCTTGTACAACTTTGCTTCACCAGCGCTGGCAGTAACTTGCCTTCCTATCAAGCCGAGAAATGCAAACGTGGCCTATTGAAAACGCTCTTTTACAGAGCCAGACGGATATTCAGCCCCGAAAAGAAAGCTGAAGAAGCATTTCTGTACAGAACCTTGATGTCAAATGGGTATCCTGAGAAGTTCATTTAGATCCACAGCAGGCCTCCCAGTGCGAAAGTACCGGTGTTAATTGCAAATAAAAAGAACGTTTATGTTTCTACCGTTCAAAAGAGACCGTGTAGCAAATGACATCGGACCTAAGCTTCGATCAGCCCTTACGCGCACTAACGCGACCGCCCAGTTGCGACTCGTACGTACCACACGAAACCTTGTTTTTCATGATCGTCAGAGCAACTCATCAGGCAATTCGAGTTTGGCAAACGATCCAGGGAGGTAACCGAGGGTCTTGCCAGACATCAGATGACGAATGCTCGTGTTAATCACTCGATATCCAACAAGGTATCAGCAATTCATCGCAGATGGTTACTAAGCATATCCAATTTTTGACGCCTTGACCAGGTTTGTGATCTATATGGTAACACTGGTGCGTTGTGGCGTTGTTAGCCCTTTCTCCAGCCAATAAGCTTATACTCCGCGCTCCCTATAAATGATCGAGATCTCAGGTAAGCATCTAGGTAACAAGATTTGTTGTGTCTGTGGTAGTAGCGGATCGAACGAGTCATCATCATTATACACGTTAGCTACGGGTGGGGGACAGTCGTTGTGCCGCAATACACAATAAGAGAATACTGAAGAGGCGCAACACAGGCGTACCAACTGAGCCACCAGTAATGGATGGAAATCGTTTCGGAGAGCTAGCAACCGGCTGTTGTGCCACCGAAAGTTATATTTTGCTTCAGGAATGAGATCGTGGTTGGTCAAGTCAAAAAAAAATCAGTTCGTCAGCAGTACGCTGGCACACTGTATGGACGCTTCGCTGCCACGTGACCACCACCGGTCGCGCGTGGGCAGAGTATACCGCGAGGAAGGGGAGGCTAAGCGGGAGGGGGATGGACAGAGAAACACAACACAAATGCCACTGAAGTCGGCTCTTAGCCATGTTAACAAGTGTATCCAGCCAAACGTGTTCGTTGTCTTTCGGGTCCAATCCAGGGAACTGAGAGGCCCCAACCGAGGTCAACTTCGTAGTATGGGTCTTCATTCGTTTAACCATGTTGTTGGTTTGCCTGCTTTCCTCTTTTTCGATCCACACCATCGGAGCGCAAATGACGCATGTCGTGGGAGTCCGTGTGCTGGCGTACGCGACAGGTGGCCCATCCATCCGAGCCTGGTTCGTGAAATAACCGTGCTGAGTGGTTCAATCCCTCATTGCTCACCTTGTGTTTCCACCAGATGTGAGCCAAACTGTGAAGGCACCGGTGGTCGAACGTAACAAACCTCTTTATGTCTGCTGATCTAATGAGCCAGGTTTCACAATCACACAGTAGGGTCGGACGTACGGCTGCATTGTACACTTTACCCTTCAGGGAGAGAGATGTTGCGCCGGTGCCATAGATGGCGAAGGTTAGCAAAAGCGTCTCGAGCTTTTGCTATGCTGATTTGTGATCTCGTCTTCGATTCCACAGGCCATGATACAACTGCCTACTTAGTTTAATTTTTGTATGACTTCTAGCTTATCCCCACTAAGTGTCGGCGTAGGAGGCGGTCTCTGCAAATCTTGGAGGAAATCTTTGCATTTGTCACAGATGAGGGCAATGTCGTCAGCATACTCCAAGTCAAGTAGTCGTTTGCCTGGGAGCAGCTCCACACCTACTATGTCTTGTCCAGTAAACACGTTTTCCATGGCTTCGTCAATAGCGAAGTTGAAGAGGAAAGGTGACAGCATGCGTCCTTTTTTTACTCCGCTGGAGGCATTGAAGGGCAGCGACAGCTTGCCATGAGTCCTCATAGTACCCAAACTACGCGCGTAAAGCGTTCGGACAATTTTTACATATTTTTGAGTGAGCTGAAGGAACAGAAAGATAACAGCCTGAAGGCTAATCGATCGTCGCCGACACAATCTGACAATGATAAAACGGCACTATCGATTGCACAGAATTGCTTTACTGGCACGAACAAGGCTCAAACAGACACCAAGAAATAAATAGCCAGTGAAAATGCGCCACATTGCAATGTTTCCAATTCATGAGAAATATAAAAGAACCCCTTTGTTTCTATAAAAACAGAATTTGTTCAAGACCCTGACTTTGGTCTTGCTTTTTGAGGAGCCACACTTTACCGTGACCACCAGAGATGGTGCAATCACGCAAATAAGTAAACCGATTGTTTGTGAAAACTAGGCATACAATTTTAGTGACGCGCAAAACATGTTTCCCTGGTTTACGGTTTCACTATCAATGCTGTCAACCCCTAGATTCTTATACAAAATTTTGGCTTTTTGAAGCTTGCTGGACGATTCCCACTAGCAGAGTACGATTTACGACATAGGGTTAGCAACACAGAAATCAGGCATCTCCTCAGGGTGGGCGACAAGGTCTAATTGACGCAGTACCATTGTGTTAGAACAAGCATTCCCTGAAAATTCCCGTGAATCTTGTTTCTCGATCTATTCCACTGGTGGCCAAATGTCGGTCGTTAGCGGTTTTATGTGGAATCAGTGGCGAACCAATTCAAGTCTTGGCACACTGTGTTGCTCGTTTCTTATAATTAGAATGGCCTGATGGAAATTATTGAAAAGAGGACTCTTCGCGAATTGGACTTTTATTTTAACATGGGTAGAATTCATGAATGCGCAGTCTACAACATTGATTTGTACGTTGGGCTTAGCGCTTCAAACAACAATTCAACTGGCCACCGGAACAAATGGACCCACTTTCAGAACTATACGGAGCCTCTTGATGCGTAAACGCTTCACCACGGTCTGACATTGAGATTACTCGTGAACATCGCTTTCCGATGTGCCAAGCAGCCCCTGATACAAAGGAACTACCTCAGGATCTCTATAGAGGTGGGCCATATCTCATTTGTTATGTTTTCCTTTCTCCAGGCGATTTGAAGAACGAAAGTTATCCTCATTAGAGCATATCGGATGTCGCATCCATCTTCGTATACGGTAGCCATCTCTGAAATCCGCCAAATACTCGAGCGACGTCAAACATTAAATCCACCAGCAGTTTTCGTACTCTAAGTCGCGCGAACTACCTTCGGCGCGGCTGTTGGTGGCTGGATCTTACCGTGGTGTGATGGTTTGTGTGCCTCAGTGATCCATTGAGCTATGCTGGATGGTGCTTTTGCACCT